CTCCCCGGCTCCCACCGCTTTGTTGAAGTACACGGAGAAGGTGATCGGCTGCCCGCGGCGCATCACCGCCTCCGAGCTGGCAAAGCAGCCGGTGTGGTGCTCCCGCGAGTTGGTGGGGACCTGCCAGTTGATGTGTGTCGGGGTCAAATCTATGAAATAGCAATGCCGGGCAATAGGCGGAGGTGAGAGGAGCCGCCTGGCTCAGAGCCGTCTCACCTGGGACCCCTTCCCCTCCCCCTCCTCCAGCCCAGGGCGTGTCTCCTGCATCCCCCCCCCCCCCCGTGAACGGAGGGATCCTTCTTGGGCAGCCGGGGGGGGGGGAACAGGCCGCCAAGCCCTGGGAGGCTGGCCCGCGGTTTGTGACAGGCGGCGTTTCCAAGGGGCTCCGTTTACCGTCCTCGACCTGCTTCTAGGTGTCTCTTGCTTTTTTACAGAGCAAGTTGCAACGCTGAAGGAAAACAGCATCACAAAGCTCAGGACACTGCAAGAGAAACAAGGCAACGAAAGAGAAAGCAGAACCCCCAACAGGCCCCCTTTCCCCATCAGGAGCCCCCGCCGGCGGTGGTTGCCCAGGAAGGATGGACAGACGGGTGGGTGTGTGGGAGGGGGGACCCTGCTCTGTGCAGGTCTTCTCAAGGGGAAAGCCTCGACCAGCCCCCGGCACCCTGGAAGCCCTGTCCATAAAAGCCAGAGAGCCAAGGAAGGCCCGAGAAGCACACCTGGGTGTGGGGGTGAGCCCCCCCCCCGAAGGCACCCTGCTCCCGGGGCAAGAGGCTTTCCTCCTAGATGGACCCAGGAGGACTCTGTTCCATACGGCCCTCCTCTGCCAGCCCCCTGCCCCACCAAAATGGACAGAACCCACCCACCCACAAACACCCCACGTTTCCCTCTCACAATTTCTCTCGTTGGACAAAAAGAAAAGAAAAGAAAGAAAGAAAGAGAGAAAATAGATCCCAAGGTGCAAGAGATGGAAAGGGCCTGGACGCTTTCTTAGGATGGGTGGCACTGACAGCTCTCGCTCTCTGGAAGGAAGGGAGGAAGGACCTGCCCTCCCCCTTGGCCTCGGCAGGTGCGAGGAAGGTGGCAGGATGATTTGCGATGATGGGGTGGGGCTGAGTAGGGAAAGATCAAAGGCGGATTGGGCCAGGCAGAGAAATGGTTCTGCTGTGCTAGCGCCACTCACCAACCTCACTCGTAGGACCAGCTGCCCCACTGGGTCCCTGTGACCCGCAGCAGCAGCACCCCCCCCGCCTGCCCGCATTGCAGCCGAGGCCTGGAGGGCTCCCACATACTGCCTTCTTAAGGGGAGCTTCTGAGTGTGTTAAGTGGGAAGGGATTTAAAGGCACAGTAGGAAGAAAGGCTCTTCCAGGCACCAAGAGCTTTGGGGAAAGGACTGCATCGGTCCCCTTCCAGGACTGGTGTGTGTGTGTGTAACTTCCTGAGAAAGGCTTGGTCATTTGGCACACATGCGGTGGGCCCAGATCTGCTGGCACCAACTGACTGCCCTGACGTGGCCCACCTGCTCCCCAAGGGATAAGCTTCTGGCAGGGAGACTCCCTAGAAAGGGTAAGGGCCGGGGCATGCTTTTTGTGCTAGCACCTACCCTGTTTCCCTGAAAATAAGACCTAACCTGAACATAAGCCCTAGTATGATTTTTCAGGATGCTTGTAATATAAGCCCTACCCCAAAAATAAGCCCCAGTTCAGTGAAACCCGACCCTCCACCACTGTGCAGCAACAAGAATAAGGTGACATGACTGTATTTGAATAAATGTAGATGGTTGTACATGAAAAAAATTAAACATTCCCTGAAAATAAGCCCTAATGCATTGTTGGAGCAAAAATTAATATAAGACCCTGTCTTATTTTGGGGGAAACAGGGTAGAAAGCCACCCTCCATCCCTTTCTGGAAGGCCTGGGGAGACACTTTGCAAGCCGGTGGGTGGTGGGCAGTCTCATGACCACCCTGTTGGCTGCCTGGGCAGCAAACCTTTCTCCCTTTCCAGGCACTTCCTTCCTTCCTTCCTTCAACCCATCATCCTTCCCAGGGTTTCCTGTCCTCCCCAAAGCAGAAAGAGCAAAGGGGTGCTGAATGGCTTGAAGCTCTCCTGGAAAGATACCCCCTCCCTGCTCCCAAAGATGCCCACCAAGGGATGGCAGCCGGGATGCCAGAGGGCCAGAGAGGCAAGAGGGGGCAGAGGGAGCCACCCGTGCCCACCCCCGACGCACCTGCCATGGCTGGGTTTGCTCCTCTTCAGCTCAGCCCCAGGTCTCCTATTGCATGTTCCTTGGCGCTCTCCTGCTTTCCGCTGAACTGGGTGCAAAGTGAGGCACGTCACCCCTGAGCCCTATAAAACCACCCAAAGGCAATTAGCCAGTCCCTATAATCGGTGGCAGTGCAACTCTGATTTTCCTGTTCCATGGGAGGGGCAGCTGTGGGAGGCCAAGAAGCCACCTGTGTTTACTCGGAGGAAGTGCATTCTCTTGCATGAGGAGGCCAAGCAGGACTTCCTCCGTGGAATTCCAAGGAAAACTGTCACCTCCCAAGGTGAGGAAATGCCTGGAGACGATGATGCAGCAGGAAAAAGGGGTTCCCTGCACGAATGCCATCATTTTTCCCCCTCTTCCACTTGCAGACTGGTATGCCCAGCATCTGGGATGCCCCGTTGACCTCGGGGCACCTGCCTCCCATTTGCTCTCTGCCCTTCCCACACAGGCTCAGGGCGCCTGCCTCTCCCCTTTTGTGGCTTGCAGTGAGGGCCTTCAGGGCCAGGTGAAGAAGGGAGGCTGAGCTGATGCTCCAGGCGCAGGGGCCACCCAGGCCTCCGGGGTGCCACCCACCTGCCCGCCTGCTCACCCATTCCTTTCCGTCCTTAAGCCAAGACAGGGAGACTCTAGAAAGCTGAAGGCGGGAGGCCTGGACAGGGTTGGCACTTGGATCATTACCCCAGTCTGGCTCCTGCCTGCCCCTTGTGCAATGCCTGGCACCCCTCTGCCACTTTTTCCTTGCCAGGGTTTAGAGTTAGCACCCTGGACAGCAGCCGTCTCCTCCTCCTCCTCCTCCTCAGCTGATTTCAAGGAATGTAGCTAAAAACAGGGGCCCCGCTGCAGCCCCCTGGAGGACCATTTCCTGTGGGCAGTTTGTTCCTCCTGATGCTTCGGTGGCCACTGGCCAGCATGGGCCCTGAATAGGTTCCAGGCTTTCACCATCTGGAAGCTCAGCAGCACCCGCTTCCAGGGGGAGGGAGGCCCCCCATCACCTTTCTGCAAGGCTCGAACCCAAGTGATTGGGGTGGTGGTGGTTTGCCTGAGCTGATGCATGGCCATCCACTGCGCTGGGGGCCTCCAGGAATCTGAGGCCTCTTCCTGCCCCCCCCAGGGTGGGGTCTTCCAGGAACCTCCTGGGGTCATAGGCCAAGGGCCTTTCCTGACTGGCCCCCGGTTTCTCAGCTCTTCCGACAAGAGGTTCTGCTCCCTGGAACTCACTTCTTTTTTCCTTCTTACTCTCAGAGTTCAAAGGGGCCCCCCACTTCCTTCTACCACCACCACCAGCAGCAGCGTGTGGGGCAAGGTCCAATTCTCCGCCCCCAGTGACTCACACCGCCCAGCTCATCAAGACAGCTGACCTCCTGTCTTGCCAGATGTGGGAGAAACCAGGGGAGACCCTTCCCTCCCCCCACGAGGCAGCTATGACACCATGGCTTCTGGGTGGCCCCAGGGTGGGACCTCAGGCCCGGCTTCCCTTTGGGACACTCACCGCTTTCTTCCGAGGAGGCTGTTGCTCATGCGGTTGCAGCCAGAACGCTCCCTCCTCTGCTCCCTCTGGGGCTGTCCCAGGTATTGCTTCAGCCACCCCCCCCGGCTCCACCCCTTCATGATGGGCCGTGATGTGGGGCGCTCAGCCCAGCTCCCCATCCGCTTTCAAGCTCCTTCCAGCCAGGGAACTCTGCCTTTCATGTGCCCAAGAACTGGACCTGCCACCTGGGCTGCCAGCAGCCGCCATGCCTCTGCCCCAGCCCCGAATCCCCACCCCTTTCCAGGCAAATCCTGTCTGCAGGAAAGTCACCTCTGCCCAACTAGTCTTTCCGGTTTGGAATGAGCTGCAGCAGCATCCTTGTTTATTTCCTGCCTTCGTCTCAGGAAAACATCTCAGCCGTGCCTCGGCTTCAGCAGTGGAGCCTGGAAGTATGCCACCGGTTGAGCAACACTGCTCCCTGTCCCACACCCAACTTAATGGTCCTGATGTTGATCTCTGTTTTACTCATGAGGAAGTAAGCTGCTCTGAAATTTCCTCTTGAGTCATGTAATGTGTGGGTGGTTCCTGAGCGACATATTAATTCTGCCGACTAATGCACCCCTCCCTCAGCCAACGTTCCACCTTATTTTTCCCCCTCCCTGAATCTTCTTCCTTCTTCTCCAAACCTCCCAAACATTTCCAGCTCCTTCCTGCTTCCTTGCAGGCCTCTGCTTCCAGGCTTTAAGTGGTGCCTGCTGCAATTACCTGCTGGCGATGCTCCACCTTCTTTCCTTCTTTCTCTCCCTCCCTCTCTCTCCCTCCCTCCCTCCCTCTCTCTCTCTGCTCAGGGCCTGGGACAACTTCTACAGAGCTAGCGAGGAAAAGAGCCACCCTTTCATGATGGAGCCCATGGTAGCCACCGTGGGCTCCCTTCCAGGCATCTCCTTCTGGACCTCTGTGCGGATGGAACATAGTGGCCTAGTCATGACAGCCACTCTTTCTTTTCCAGAGGCTTCCCTCCAGCCCTCCCCCCCGAAGCCCAGGCAGCCAGTTCTTCGTACACCAAGACTCCCATGTTGCCTCTCCCCAAATCTGCCTTCAAGGTAGCAAAAACTGGCTTCACCTTGTAGGTGGCTGCAGCAGCTCCTTCATGCACTCTTCAGTATCTCAGGACAGAATGGGAGAGGTGACAGAAATAGGCAGTGCATCATCACCATCATCATCTCTTCCTAACAGAAGAGACCCCTTTGAATGCCCCCTTACTTCTGCCCTTTTCCACGACATACCATTTCATCTCCCACCACCATGAGTGTTCCTTCTTCTGTCC